AAATATCAAAGACAAAATACACAATGACAATAATATACCCAATGGCCTGAAGAATATGTGTGTTCATTCAAATAACGGTTTTCCTATGAATTAACTAGAACACAGTCCATTTCTACTCTGCCTTTCCTTGGGACATGCAGGGATTTTCCCTGCTTTACATACTTTTGGCCAATAAACCCAGTGATATCAGCGTTGGTTGCCATGCAACAAAGAGGCCTGTTCGACTTCCTGGGGTGTTACGCATTCCGGGGGGAAGGGTTCATGGGTCCTCGTATGGCTTGTTAACTGAGGTTACAGAGTATTTGTTAAATATAAAAACAACATATATATTGTGGGTTTGATTGGTCCAGACGCTACAATCTTTATTTGGGAACTTATTGATTAAAAAAAAAAAATTATGGTCTTTTTTGTCGCACGTGAGAAATGTACTTGTGTGACCTTCAGAAAGGGTTGCCTTTGTGTTTTCTGCTGTTAAAATGGGCCTGTGTCCCACAGGTGACCCGTCTGCAGTACCTCAACACTGTGATGGCGTCGCGGGTGGCCCAGAGCCCCGAGCCGCCTGAAATCAAGATCCTGCCCAACAGTCAAACCAAACTCCTGAACGAGAAAAACACTACTCAAGGTACGGCACATGAACACACCGGCACACATGCATGACACCGAATACATAACAGAACATTTTGTGCGACTCTGTGCTTTAGATTTTGTGTATTTTCTTCTTCTCGTGTTTCTGTGTAATTTGCTAGCGTTGGATTGTTGTGGAGTCTAAACATGCAAGAACAGGTCACCGGGAATGTCTATGAAACTTCTGTCTTCATCGCTCTCTTCTACTGAACTAAGACTGTGTTCTCTTTCTTTCTTTTTCTCTCCTTCCCTTCATTTTCTCCCTCTTTTTATCTCCATTAGACTTTCAGCTCCACTTTTCATTCTTTGACGCAATTGACAACTACTGTTAGTGTGCTTTGCATGAGGTAAATGCAAGTGATAAGCATGGTATGTTACGTTTGAAACATGTATCCCAGCAGTGCATCGAAGCATCACAGAGCGCCACCAGGTGGTTGGTATGATACATCAGTGCATGTCAAATGATACGCATAGTGGTTACATTCGAATGCATCACTGATATGATTTTATCCTATCTCATTTTTTATTGACACCGTTTTGCAAAGTAACCCTCTTCTATATTAATGCTGTCTGTTGGCTCCTCAGACAGGATTTAAATGTCCAGGTAGGTCTTCTTATGAAGTTCCCTTTACTCTACCAAACTGCTAACTGATTACAAATGTTGTTATTTTTAATAACATATAAATTAACTTTAACCAATAAATATTTTCATTTAATAATATAATAGTCTGATATTGCAATATATATCCCCTATATTATAATAGATATCATTAGTATTTATATATATATATATATAATTTACTTTACATGACTTTTTACCACACGTCTACCGATAATTACTTAATGAGCTAATAATTCTGATGATGTTATAATAATTCTGATGAGGTTGTAATGATTCAGGAGATGTGTCTCAATGCATCTACAACTTGAATTGTAATGTATTTCTGGTCATTTTGAGAATGATGTCAGAATATGTTACTAGAGAACGATGAATCAGTGTTTTTGATGAACAGTTTCATTCTGATTTCCCGGGCTCTGCAGGTGCGCTCAAGAGCCAGGAATCCAGGCCAGACGAGGAGCTTCACAGCCAGAGAGGAGCGTTTTGACCTTCTATCTAACCTTCCTGCAGAACTCACAAGGATTTTATTATGACAACTAATTTGTTTTTGTCGTCTTCAATGAATCTTTTACTCCTGGAATGCAGCGATTGAGCCAGATGGAGGACTGTTGAGGAAAACAAAAGACGTGATGTTCAAGACGTGACTTTCTGGTCAGACGTGATCTGTTCTCTCTGTTCTGCTTATTCAGCTGTTCCCTCTGATGTCACTTCCTCTGCACTCTGTTTGAGTTCACTTATTTCCTTAAGGTGTATGCATGTGCATATGTGCTACTAAATTAAATTCTGTGCCAAGATCTTACTATCCCTGTCATATAAGCAGTATTACAGCCCTGAATCGTCCAGCCCTAATGTGCCAAAATGGCTTCAGAGCGACAGAAAATAGCCTCATGTCATTCCAAACACGTAATCTTGTCTTTTCCAATTAATAGTGAATACAGCTGTCAGCCTCCCTCTGTAAAGGACAAAACGGCTTCACTGAAGCACTCAAATGTTATTCTCCATGGCCTAAATGCCATCAAATCTGAGCACAAATAAGATTTTAGACCTTTGGGAAAGTACACTATTAAAAATAAATGTTTTTTATTGGCATCTATGGTTCCATAAAGAACCATTAACATCCATGGAATCTTTCCATTCCACAAAAGGTTCTTTAGATAATTAAAATGTTCTTCGCACACTTAAAAATAAAGGTTCCAAAAGGGGGTTTCACAGTGATGCCATAGAAGAATCATTTTGGGTTCCTCAACGAACCTTTCAGTGAGCAGTTCTTAAAAGAACACATTTTTCTTTGTGTAAAGAACATTTGAAAAATATAAAAAACCTTTCCATGGAGTGTTCTTCTACACTTATTAAAGGTTCCAAAAGGGGGGGTTTGCAATGTTGCCACTTTGTGTGTGTGTGTGTGTGTGTGTATGTGTGTGTGTGTGGGTTTTAAGGCCGGAACACACCAAGTCGACGGTCGGGCTAGTTTGTTTGGTGTGTTCCACTCATCGGCTCTCGTCGGGTTCACGTCGCCGGTAGTTTACTGTCAGCGCGAGTGAGAACTCTGATTGGATGTTCAGTTTAGCGAACGAGTCAATACCCGAGAATTAAAGTGAAAGTGATGAAAATAAGCACGTAAATGAAGGCGGTAAAGACAGAAGGCTGTTGAAATGTTACGTGATCTTTCCCAATCATTCTAATACGCGAATGTTTTCATAACAACATGAGCCGCTTAAAATTATTAAAGTTATCAATATTGCTGATATTCAAAATGGTAAGCAAGCACTGCTTTGTTTACGTTTCGTATATCTGCATTTATCTCGTATATCTTTGTTTCGGTTTCTCCTTTTGAATGACGAATATATGCTATTGATAGCTGCTGATATGAGATGGTCCTCACTGATCCCTAAACCCACCCATCTCCACCCCCTGATCCCTAAACCCACCCATCTCCACCACCTGATCCCTAAACTCACCCATCTCCACCCCTAAACCCACCCGTCTCCATCCCCTGCACCCCAACCCCCCCCATCTCCCCCCCCTGATCCCTAACCCCACCCTTAAACCTACCCGTCTCCCCCCCCTGATCCCTAAACCCACCCATCTCCACCCCTAAACCTACCCATCTCCACCCCTAAACCTACCATTTCCACCCCTAAACCTACCATCTCCACCCCTAAACCACCCATCTCCACCCCTAAACCACCCATCTCCACCCCTAAACCCACCCATCACCACCCCTAAACCCACCCATCTCCACCCCTAAACCACCCATCTATACACCTAAACCTACTCATCTCCACCCCTAAACCCACCCATCACCACCCTGAAACCCACCCATCTCCACCCCTAAACCTACCCATCTACACACCTAAACCCACCCATCTCCACCCCTAAACCCACCCATCTCCACCCCTAAACCACCCATCTATACCCCTAAACCTACTCATCTCCACCCCTAAACCCACCCATCTCCACCCCCTAAATGTGGATCCAACCCCGCCCCCTGGATCTTTGTTCTGCAGTGAGGGGCTACTGGCTGATATAGACAGTTAATTCCTCTCACGCATGCGCAGAACCTTAAAGGAACATTTTAATAATCTAAAGAACTTTTTTTCCATTATCAAGAACCTTTTGTGCAATGGTAAGTTTCCATGAATGTTAATGATTCTACATGGAACCACTAATGCTAGTTAAAAAAAAAGAATGTATTTCATTCGCTGTGAAAAAACCCTTTTGGAACATTTATTTTTGTGTAGGAAAAGATTCATCAGTAATAACCACATTAATGCTTTCCAAAGACAGGTTTGATGGTGAGTCCTTAGGTGGAATATTCCTTTTAGGTCCCAGTATGTAAGTGCCAATGTAAGTTTATCTACAGAAAGCTTGCAAGAAGTGGAAAGCTGGATTTTTCACAAAAAAAATGGTCTTGCACTGTTAGATGCAGTTATCACTAAATGGGGCGGGAATAGGTCCTTCTCGGTCTTAGAAATTCCTATACATGGTCCCTTTGATTATCATTACCTTTGCCTAATATATTTCCCTCCGACTCTTCAGATTGTTAGATTGATTATTTGTGGAAAAACATACATTCGAGAGCGACGTTACAACTTCTGCGTGATCCTGACCCATTTTTTCACTGCATGTCTACATCCGGCTGCCATTATAGCATCTCAGAACATTTGCATATTAGGTGACTAAATGCCTTGCATGACTGTAGCGGATGAAGCTAACAGTATAAATGAAAAAGTCCAACCTTTGCCATACTGGAATAACCTGACCATTCCATTGGATTAATATTAGAAATTAGATCCTAGCAATTCTGAAAATCCCAATGTTTTTGAGTTTGAAATGTAGAAACGTTGTGTAGATGGGTAATTAACCTAAAACCTACTTAATGAGTCTAGAAGTTTTCTGGCATTCCATGGTGTTCTGTTATAACGAATCTGCTATCCGTTCCATCTGCTTGTCCTAGAGAAAATGCTTGGTTTAAACATTTCAAGTTTATTTTAGGTTTCCATAGCATTTCAGCCTACACTACCATTCAAATGTTTGGAGTATGTTTTTAAACAAGTTTCTTATGCTCACCAAGAATGTTTATTTGATTACAGTAAAAAAAATTGTGAACTTTTTCATTTGAAAATATTTTCAAATGTAATTTAATTCATGTGTTTCAAAGCTGAATTTTCAGCATCATGACTCTAGTCTTCACGTGTCACATGATCCTTCAGAAATCTGAATCATTCTAATCATGCTGATTTGCTGCTCATGAAAAAATTCTTATCCATGTTGAAAACAGTTGTGCTGCTGCATATTTTTGTGGAACCATGATACATTTTATTTCTAGTATTTACTGATGAATAAAAAGTTCAAAAGAACAGCATTTATTTGAAATAGCAATCTTAAATGTCTTTACTGTTATTTTTTGTTTAATTTAGTGTATTCTTTCGGAATAAAGTATTAATTAATTTAAAAAATAAATAAATAATGACCCTAAACGTTTGAAAAACTTTTTAGTGTGTAATTTGGGTTTTGATGTGCAAAGGAAAAGTGTGATTTGAGTAACTTTCAGGATAGACTTAATGTTCAAGAAATTCAAGCCTTCATTTGTTCTGTTTTATTGATGCAAATAGTCATGTAACCAATTTTAAGCAGTTATTTACATGTGTGCTAATTTATGTTGTCATTATAGGCCATCCGCAAAAAACTGACTGCACCGATCAGTGTGTGATCCAAGTAAATATTTTTCTGCTGTTCAAAATGTTGTACTGTTTGTTCTGTTGTAAAAGTCAATTTATATGGTCACAAAATAACGAATGTATATAGATAGATAGATAGATAAAAATCCTTTTCTTGTCTTACTCTATTTATCAAAAGAAATGCTGAGATTTTTGCATAGGTTAGAGATGACTGTAAATTAATAAGAAACGTCTGAGGTTGTAAAGTGGGAACAGTTGCTGGCTTCAGGTACAAACATAGATATTACCAGGGATTCAAACACACTTTTACTTCTGACCAGCCATTTTTGGTAGTTGAGATTCAAATCTTCTCTGTGTTGTACATGAGCCATTAAATACTCTTGATATCAACTCTTTCATAGGAAATAAACACAGCCCAGTGCTTAACTGATTGTCGTTCGTTTTGTATTATGTTACCAGTATGGTGACCATACGTGACCATACATAGCCTACCTTTTTGCTTTAAATGTCCAGGTTTTGGCTTTGTTTTTCTATTGACGTGCTCTTTACCACTGTTGCCAACTCATTTTCAGGGGAAGTTGCTAAAGGAAGGTGATTTGTTGCTAAAAGTTGCTAAATGGTGTTGTGATGCCATTGCGTGATGACCATGTAATCATGACGCAAAATTGTGTCACTACATCAGATCTCTGTTAGCATCGCACTGGTTTCCTCGACAAAAAGCTAATGGGATTTTTCCATAGGTTTTTGGATTATTTTTGGACAAAAAATAAGCTCTGTGTTCAATCACAGTTCATGAAACTTACACGTTTTGTCCATCAAGATCATCTACACAAAATAATATAACTTTGATGAATTTTGAAGCCAAAATAACTAAGCTAAACTTAGGCTATAAAGGAACTACAGCACCACGGTCGCTCGCCTTCAACGTCACCACCACTATGCTCCCGACAACTTTTTTAAACTTATTTTTAACACGTTCTTGAGAGAAAGATACTTTCACGTTTTATTCTACGACATGTTACACCCCACTCGTAATTTTTTTTAACTGTTACATTTCTTAAAAAAGACGGTTGCTAACAAGGTGCTAAATGGTACAGGCGCTGTCGGAGACATTAAACGTCATCACGCCGAGCAGTTTATCAATTTACAGTATTTTCCAGTCGTAGTATATTTTGTAATACAATTAATTGTAGAATAACCAATTAACAGTTTCCCGCATTTTATATTGCTGGTCGACGATGTTTTTTTGTTTTGCCCTGAAATGCAACACAAGTCTTCAGATGGAAGATGCTCGTTTTATCGCTTTCCTACTGATGCGGAGACTCTAGGTTCATAAGGCAAACTCATATTATGATTATTCCACGTAAACACCACATTTAATGGCTTAGTCATGGTGAAAGTGAAA